GCCCTAACAGATCTACCATGCAAGCATAATGCTCCAACCTAGCTAGGATCCCATATTCCTCAATCATGGAACGGAAGTAGAGAATTCCATCATCAACCTGCGCCTGCATGACCACAAGCAGATAATATACCAAGAAATGTGACATGATCAGGCAAGATCCCATTACCCAACATTTCATGAAATAGAACAAGAGATTCCTTAAGGTGACCGTGGTTCCCATAAGCAGAAATGATGATGTTCCACGAAACTTCATTCTTCTCTTCCATCATGTCAAACACACGGCGAGCAAGATCTAAGTTTCCACATTTGGCATACATGTCTATCAGTGCACTCTCAGCAAACAGATCAGGGCTAAATGCATTTCTAATCATGAAACTATGGATCTCTTTCCCGTAATGAAATGCTGGCAAATTTGCACATGCAAATAGCCCAGCTGAAATGCTTACACAGTCATATTTGACACCTCCCATCCCCATTTGACGAAATAGATATACCACCTCTTCTGGTTTGCCATTCTAGGAATAGCTTGTTATCATCGAGTTCCAACAAACAGCATCCCTTTCAGTCAGTCTTTGAAAGAACACGATGAGCAAGATCAAGTCTTTCAGATTTTGCATACATGTCTCTAAGGGCACTACCCACATAACACCTCCTATCAAACGCATGCTTGAGGAATGTTACCATGCACTTCCTTTCCGAATTTCAGAGCAGCCAAACCAGCACAAGCTGGTAAAACACTTGCCTACTGTTAGAGAATTTGGTCTCATTTTCTGTTTAAGTAACCATCTAAAAATTTCCAAAGCATCACTATTCATCCCATTGAGAACAAACCCCTGAAATCATAGCTGTGCACATGACAACATCCGTTCTGGTGCTTCTGGTTGAAAATTTTGAATGCCATCTCCACATTCCGACACTTGGAAGTATACATCAGTAAGTGCACTTTGCAAAAACACATCCAAGGGAACACAGTGCCTTACAATGTAACCGTGAATTTCCTTACCCTGCTTCATGTTACCTTGTTCAGCAACAGAAGGTAAAAAGTTTGCACATGTGATTGAATCAGGTTTAACACTTGTAGATATCATGTCCTGAAACAAACGTGAAGCCTCAAGCATGAACCCACTCTGTATATAACCAGATATCATTCCATTCCATGTCACAAAATCAGTTCGAGGCATCATATCAAACAACTTGCGGGCATCAGAGAAGTACTGGCATTTAGAATACATTGCTAACAATGTATTAGCCACTGGAGAATCCGACTCCAACCCACAAGCAACAACGAGCCCATGAAGTTGAGTACCAAAACCAATCATAGCTTCTGAAGCACAAACAGACAAAAATGCAAGCCGAATGTCACTACATTTGGCTTAACTTCACTACTTCTCATTTCCAAGAACATTCTAACAGAATTATTTGATTCTCCAATTTTTAACATAGCCATGAAGCATAACATTCCATAAAACACAATCTTTGTCAGGCATTTTAACAAACAAGTGCCATGGCATCCTGGATACAACCATTGTCCATATACAGTTGAATCAAAGAACCTGCCCACAAATATATCAATTCCAAAACCCATAAGCTGGATAGTATTCATAGACTGCTTTGCCCAATCTTACATTATTCACACCACCACAAGCTTTAATTACACTCGGAAAAGTGTACTTGTCAGGGTGAAACTCCAGAACCCAACATCTTAAAGTAAAAGAGCAAGGCATAATCAAAGTAACCCGTTATAGTAAACCCTCTAATCATCCAGTTCCAAGGCAAAGTATATTTCAAATCAAGCTGATAAAACATGTTCTTGGTGTCTATAATGCTCCCACAGAGAAAATACATACCCAGGATCTTTGTACCGACAAGGCTGTTTTTCACAAGTCCGCTGCAAATGACATGTGCATGAACTTGTCTACCTTGCTGGAGAAGAGACTGATCACTACAAGCTTGCACGATTGAAGGAAACTGGCTTGCCAACGCACCTTCCAAATTAAGGGAGTTTTTGTAGTTTGTATGTATGGACTTGGACCATTGTGGTGTATTGTGTATGAAATGTTTATAGACTGGACATATAAATCTATTGTACATGTCTTTTGTGTTGTAAGAATCATCTTTGTTTAGAAAGCCTCCGACATTTTTTTTTTATTGTTCTATATACTTAAAGAAAGAGGTCGCACTTGGTGCGATGGCAAGTGCCTTCGCCCATGAGCGGTAGGTCTTGGGTTCGAGACTTGGGAGCAGCCTCTCCATAAAATGGGGGTAAGGCTAGCCGACATTCACCTCTCCCAGACCCTGTGTAAAGCGGGAGCCTTGTGCACTGGGTACGACCTTTATATACTTGAAGAGTGAAGACTATGTAGTTGATACAAAATTCATCTGAAAGCATGAGCACCAACAGCCCACTTTTATTGGATTACTTTGATGTGTTCTAGCTGCCTCCCTAGCCGCCACGTACACCAAAAATGTATGTCAACAGAAGCATGTGCAAAAATTGCACAATGGTGGCATAATATTCTTCTATTACGCTACTTCTCACTATTTGTTACCAATTCACGAAATAACACTTTTCACCGAGCACCTTCAAAAGCATAAAAAATGGCTCTCAAATGAAAAACGAAAAAACAGTTATGTTTATTGTAACCAACAAAGAAGCACAGTATAAAGAGATTTGAATTATTTTGAAATTGAGGATTTCCAAAAACACTAAAAAGGTCGTACCCAGTGCACAAGGCTCCCGCTTTACGCAGGGTCTGGGAGAGGTGAATGTCGGCTAGTCTTACCCCCATTTATGGAGAGGCTGCTCTCAAGTCTCGAACCCGAGACCTACCGCTCATGGGCGAAGGCACTTGCCATCGCACCAAGTGCGACCTCTTGATTTCCAAAAACACTAATGAAAATAAAAGTAAATAAACAAACAAATATCTTAAGAGCGCATAATCAAAATTATAGTAAATCCAGGAATAGCACAGCTGAAGAGTGTAGCATATTTTGAGCTTGCAGCCAAATTTAACCCGACTTTCTTAACATTCTATATATATATGACTGTAAACTTGAATGTGCAAGAGCGAAATGGATGAGGTTACAGAAGAACATCTAAGCCTGAAGACGTACTTAGATCGGATAAGGTAGGACTACGACAAACTTTACATGCAGCTCTTTGGCATTCAACAAAAACAAAACAAAACTGAGGATGCAACTTATAATCATAAGATGAGGAACAAATTCAAGAATTTAAGCTAAACAGGAGACAGGAATAGAGCCAGGACTCCCTAGTGGGATGGGGTGAAACTGTAAACTAAGGCCCGTTTGATAATCATTTTAGTTTTAGTTTTTGGTTTTGTCACTTGTAACTAGATACAGAGTGATAGTAGATGGAATGGGGGAGGATGTAGTGTGGTAGGACTTAGGAGGGAGCAGGGAGAAATGCACATGAAATGACATCAGAACGAAAACCTACTTAAAATTGTTTGGTTTTTTATTTTCATATTGCGTATCATTCCATGTGCATTTCTTCCACATCCTTCTCACCACCCTTCCTCTATCCTTATTCATCTTTTCTTCTTCCTCGTATTTCTCCTTCATTTCTAACCATAAAGTGTACTAAAAGCTAAAAACAAAAGGCTTACCAAACAGGCCCCTAAGTTTCTATTTTCCAAGCCAAAAACTAGAAACTGTAGTTCCGTTGTTTCTTTGAAATTTCCCAATCTTACGGAACCTGTTAAAACAATACAACTTGCCCGAAGTGTGGCTGAGCTGATCTTGGATATCGAACAGACCTCCCCCAAAGGTAATTTTAACGCAGCCAACAAGATTCCAGAACCTAATGCAGGTATCTTGGATAACAAACAACCTTGGAGGCTTGGGCTATTGTAACCAAAATGCATACGCATACAATGAAAAAACAAAACACAAGAAATAAAAACAGATGGAAAGAGAAACAAGAAACAAACATGCAAGACATGTAGAAAATTAAATACTAAAGTTGTATCCTTGTCTACATTTATTCAATTTTCCAGATATTTGCATTGCAGCAAGACCATGTATTGAATTAGTTTGGAATTTGGTCCAACTCTAACATACAGAATCAAGTACAACCAAACCCTTAATTAAAACCCTAACTAATTAAACCTTAAATTAAAATCCTCTTATTAAATCGTAAAGTTGAGAATAAATCGGCACTGAAAGAAGAGGATAAGAGATACCTGGGTCAGTCAGTCGGAGTGAGAGAGCTGAGAGACTTATACCAAGGAAGGAGATGGTTCCCGAAACTCGACAGAAATTTCGGAGATTAATGAACAACTGCTGGGCGGTATGCATCCTCATGATGAGTTAGTGTTGTGGCGGCAAACGACGCCGTTGTCTTCTTCAATTTCATATTTGTGGTCTTTTTCCTGGTTGTTAAATAGATACAAATACATAAATAACCCCCAGATTTACCAAAAAAATTAAATAAACAAATAAAGGTTAACAGGTTTGGGAGAGAGGGGAAGTGATCATCTTCGGATCCCTTCCAGCAACTCCATCCAGAGTTTTAAAATTTGATTCAACGATAAAGTGAATCTTTGTTTGTAGCCGTTTGATTAAATTTCAAAGATGGTGGCTTGGTGGACGGATCCGGAGAGAGAGCTGTGATGGCCAGCCAAGGCAGTGGAATTGCTGGCGAAGGCGGTGGACGTTCTCCTCTGCCATCTTCACCTCCTTTGCAACTGACAATACGCATGCAAAATCGCACAAACCTCATTTGCCCCAAACATACAAAAACTCAATCGTCTAGAACTTTTGTATTCAAATTCTACCAGAAAAATAAATAAAAAATTGAAACGACGCCTGAGAGATTCGAACTCTCGCGGGGAAACCCCATGTACTTAGCAGGCACACGCCTTAACCACTCGGCCAAAGCGTCAGTTGTTAATCCCATCCTCATTTTAGTTAAATAAACAATAAACTTTCGGCTAGCCATTTATAATTGGGAATCGGATGCTATCCGGCGAAGAAAACCAGAACAAACCGATCGGTTTGGAGGAGAAGAGAAACAAAATGATAGAATGTCAGTGGCAACTGTGGCATCCTGCAACTGTATACCCTACAGCACCTGAAAAACTCATTGGATTTGGAGGACATGTTTCCAATCCCCTAACTTCCTCTCTTTCTCCCCACACTTCTCTCTCTTGCACCAAGTTCAAATCCACCAGCTACTTATGCAGCTCCAAACATTGTTTCAAGTGCTTGTGACAAAACTGAAAGTACCCATGAACCCTCTTCCCAGGTAAATTTCGCTTTCGTGTCTACGAAATTTAGTATGTTCAGTCAAATGGAGGTGAAATGTATGTTTTTGGGGTTCCTTGTTGCATTGCACCTGAGTTCGAATCCGCCCCGTGTAGATTATAGTAGTTTAGAATATCGCTTTATCAAAAACATGAAATGGGATTCTTTGTGATTGTAAATTGTAGGGGTTTTCGGCACTGGCAGCAGATGCTCCATGGGACTATGGAACTGTGTGGAGCACTATGGCTTTCTATATGTTCAGTTTGCACATCCCTCTGAGTTTTGGATGGTTGTCTGTGGTTGCTCATCTGTTGCATGAACCTGTACCTGATCCACAGACAGAGGTGAGCCTGTTCATTTATTTTTTGTTATCAACGTTGACAAGTAATGGCCTTGACAGTATTTGATTCTTGCAAGAATGGGAATTGTGTAGGGAAATTATAGAACTTGTTTTTCGGAGAGTACTTGGCTCATTGCATTCCTTCGTTTACAGAAATCACGGTTTGACACTTGCGCAGAAACATTTTTGTTAATGAATCATTTGTCTATATGTGTTAGATTGTGATTTACAAGTAAAAGTGTGCACAAAGCCGGTCAATGTTCTTTCCCTTTTCATGATTTAGCATTTTAGTGTAGGTGTAGTCTGTTAGGGGTTGGATATAAAAATTGTTCAACTTTCTGCTTTGATATGGATTGCCATATGCTGTGAATAGAGGATGATGAAGATGAACCACTGCGTAATCAATTAGCTTATCCTTTCATCTGTTTGCATCAACCTATGCTTCATTTTGTTTCAAGGGAGCATGGCTATGAATGCACATGGAATTGTTTGCAATTCTCAATTTTAAGAAGCTTGATTTTGCATTTGTAAGTATGCAGTTTGCACACCGTCGATTGATCTTTTATTTTTTTTGGTAGTGCAGGCAATATCATTGCTTGGAGCTCAAACTCTAGAGCTCATTGCAGCTCTGCTGCTTCTGCAGAGTACTGCCAAGCCACAATATAAGTTTGTGAATTTCTTCAAAGCTAACAAACTATCAAAAGAGAGGAGCTGGCTGTTGGCATCTGTCGTAGGATTTGGGTTTCTGTTCATGTTGGTTTTCCTAACTTCCTTCCTTGCTGATAGAGTCGTTGGCCCCAAGGTTGGCATGATAAACGTATTACTTGTCTGCCTTCGTTTTCTGGTTTTTCTTGTTATATTTAATGAACCAAAGGTAAGCTTCCCAAAAACAAGACCGCAATCAGAAACCTGGACACATATATTTTGTTACATGGCCTGATGGCTTGGTAAAAACATGTTTCAGATAATGAGATGTCATATTTCGGCATTTTTTATGTTGGCTGATGTTAGGTAGCGGCGAATGATAACAGAAGAATGGATTTAATTGACTCATTGCTCATGATAATAAACAAAATAAGCCAAAGATAACTTTGACAGATTCTGACAAATATCTTAGCCTAGCTTTCGCCCTACAGCCATCGAAGTATCTTTACTATCTGAATGATCCAATGGTCCATATTGCTTTTGAACAGTGGCTGAGATTACTCTTTAATTGGCTGTGGTTTGATTTTAACTAGTTTGGGTCATATAGGGCTTGTATGATTAGAAATAGGACTTGGTACTAAGTTAAAATGATTTCAAAACTGCATCAGACAAGTCGAATATGTTTCCGTTGTCAAATTCTTATTACATATCATTCATGTTTCTCTAAACGAGTAGATCAGTGGTTTAACAATGTTTTGGAAATGCTGTTCTCTTTCAAGTAACTTATTTTACACTGTGTCATTGCAGGATATAAACAACCCCGTTCTGAAGGAAATCTTGTTGAGCAGCAACATCTCACAAGCTGCTTGTGTCCTCGTATACTGCTTTATCACTCCCGTGCTGGAAGAAACTGTTTACAGAGGATTTTTATTGGCGTCAATGTTGTCCACTACGAAATGGCAGTCAGCAGTTTTGATAAGCTCAGCTATTTTTAGTGCGGCACACTTATCTGGTGAGAACTTCTTACAGTTGTTCGTCATTGGATGTGTACTTGGATGCTCCTATTGTTGGACTGGAAACTTGAGCTCTCCCATTTTAATACACTCTCTGTACAATGCCATGACCTTAATGATAACATTCTTGTCCTGAGCTCTCGCTCGATTTCATAACCATTGTAATTAACTCACTATATTTCAAACTTTCAGTTTCAAGAACATAAACCGGTACAAAACTCTTCCAAGATTTTGTTTTCCGTTCTCTTTTTCTTCGTCTCTTCAAGATTTAGCATTCAACTCTTCCAGTCTACTTGTTTATGTTGAATGATTTTGTTGGATATACACGTCAAGTGTCCAGCATTCCCATCCTGGGCAGGGATCTACCCTCATCGGGAACTGTTGGCCGCTTTGGAAGCTTCTAACGTGAAATTCTTTTCTGCTGCAAGTATTTTCCCAACAAGATTGGATTCGCACTCACAAAGAAGATGTTGTACAAGAGGAGCATTCTTGCTTTCTAAACACGATACTATTAGTGTTTTTCTTAATTTTGTAAACCCATTTACTTCCTATGATAAACCATGTTCCTTTGAGTTTTTAGAAGCATCATGTTCATGGCCTTCTGCTAATAAGGACTAGCAGCTGCTTGTCTAAAAGTTTTAGGTTCCTCAGACTCACATATCTCATATAAAAATGACATCAATCAGGTGATGACGGGATTAAGGAAGCATCTATTTAAATCATATTTTGTAAACCATATGATATAATTGTTGACGATTGGATTATGATTTAAGTGTTGATTAACGTGCTTCTATTCATTGGAAATATTGACTGAATTGACTGTAAATTATAAAATCTTACAATTTCTATCCCCTCTAACGAAGATACTAATCATACGGCAATAGCAGTAACTCCTGAATCTAAAAGCCACTTGGCATTCCAATCCAGTTCCAACAATGCATTTTTCAGACCGAGAAACACATCACTTGGTTTACAAATTTGATCTAAAAAGTTGATTTACCTAACATTACCCGAAGCAAAAGTTCTATTCATCAATATTCAAGTGACATCCGAAAAGCAGTTATAGGTCCCTTTAATTTGAAGCTGTTATGATGAAGTTTCAATGGGGCCATGGTGATTTCAACAAGTCACAATTATGTGCTGCAACAGAAATGAAGTTTGAAGGAGTCATCATATTCTTCGTATCTGTATTTGCCAACCTCTCTGCTTGCCATCTAAACTGAATATTGTAAAGCTTATTTTTTATTTTAAACCACTGACCTAAAGGCTAAAGATAAGGTTCTCTGCTAGTATACTTTATTGGCCCATTTTTCAACCAAAACAAACAAAATTATACCAATTGTCAAAAGTTATGCCATATGATCTAATTGGTTTACGATCAGATTTCAATAATAATACGGAGATTTTAAATTCTGGATTAAACACCATACCCACTTCATATAAATTTCGAAAGTCGTGATCCCATATGAAAAAATAAAGTTTTCAATTTGGATTGACAAGTGATTTTAGAGTGCATTTGTTTGACTTCACTAGATTTTACTAAATTGAACTAATTTTAGTGTAGTCATGTGCTTGTTACACACCTCAACTAAGGGGCTTGTTAAACAATCTTAGCGAGACCCCTGCAAACCAAAGGACTACTAAGACTGTCTTATCTCTCTCATCGTCCTACTTGACCAATCCAGCGTCACCCACCACTCCCTGCCACATCCTCGTTATGCTTGATACCTCGCCGGAAGATCCCATCAACCACCGCTGCGTCCTCATAAATATCTCACGGCTTCCTCTTCCACTTCCTCTTCTTTCTTTTCTTCTATTTAACTTAATTTTTTTCTTAAAAATACGAATTTTTTAAACCACAAAGTATATATATCGTCACTTAGTACAACAATTTAGTAGTGTTCTTTTTTATACATAGGTTTTAGGTTCAAATCTGTTAAATAATAAATGTTGATATGGCTTAACCGTAATCATATAATATAAGAAGGTATGAGAAGGGTATGGAATGGGGAGGACAGACAATCCAAGTCCTTAAATATATCATTGTATTTAAATAATAATATACTTATTTTGTCGATTATTGTGTTTCGAATCTATGATTATTTTATGGAATTCGAAGTATTAAAAGGCTCAACCAGTCCCATTTGGTTTGGTTATGCTTATCCAGATGGTTGTTTAGGGACTGGCTATGTGCTAGTGGTTCAGTTAACAATTCACATGGAATATTCAATCCTACCTAACACTCAATGTTAAAGATAATTTATCCGTTAATTTTGATTTCTTTCAACAACTGCCGCTATTTTCTTCTTTGTAATTCTGCTGCAGCTTCTTCAATTTTTCTGCTTCTTTCTTCTCGTCGATTCTGCGGTGTTTTTTCCTCAATTCTCCTCTGTGGTTCTACTCGGTCAATCACGACTACGATCCCGACGACGCTATCGTCTTCTCCGACATCCGCCCCCTTCTCAACTATCCCGCAATCACGAGGCGGAGGATCCAAGGCCGCTGCTGCCATCGCAGCCCCTTCTCAGTTTGATAGTCTTCTAGCTGTTCGATTTTCTTTTGAACGAACCAGATTGATGCATCCTGAGAATCCGCACAAAAGTGATTTGGAGAGAATCCTGTTCCAATTTTTAGAACCACAACTATGGTTCCACCATTTTCGACAAAATAAAAAAATAAAAAAATATGGTTCCACCATTATAATAAAGAATACGAATCCCTAAATAGTAAAATGATTACAATTAAAATAAGTTGAAGGGTTTTAGACCCAATTGGAAAATGATCCTCTTCGGGTTCTCTTTGTAAGGATTCAAGGAATTCATCAATTACAATCGTTCATTCTACATCGTACCGTTAGTTTTTGTTATATACTATTTAAATTCAATTTTAATCATCCGGATCCCCATAAAAAGGATCCGTAGAGGATCCATTCCCGACCCAATTATGCATATGTAAAACAAAAATTAGAAACACCTAGAAGGAGAAAATCTGCTAAAGTCAAAAGAGAAATTTTTCCTTGTCCTCGCAGGTACAGCACGTATTATTATTTAAATGATGAAATTTTTTTTTTTTATGTTATTAATTTTTAAACATGAAAATCTTGCTATTTCTATAAAGATGATGTACCACTTTATATTTCGGACACGTTGAAAAATCTTTCCAAGTCAATGAGTGGTCCCATGAAAATTGAGTGGGCCCAAAGGATGTGTCCACATTTCAAATGTCCAATAAAATTTAAAAACCACAGATGTCACATGCCAGCCCATCCTTATTCTTATCCCGCAATTAACTTCGGCTAATCACGCATGACACGATCAAACCGTTCCCACCCCGTTGGATTTGCGCCACGTGTGAGTGTGAGTTGGCCTACGCGGCTCCCATTTTAAAAGACGCGACCGCATCCACCACACAACAACAGCAGCTCCTCTTCCACCAGCAGCAGCGCCATAATTCTCCCGATAAAACCCCCCACACCAACCCCACTCTCTACTCTCTTTCTGCTCTCTTTCTCTCTCCAAAACTTTTGGTGGTTTCTCTCTCTAGAAAGCAGAAACAAATAATGGCAGGGTTTGAGAACCAGGTGAGGCAGAGGGCCAGGGAGCTGAAACACTTAGTGAAGAAAGGAGTGAGGATCGTTGGAAATTCGTGCAAGAAAGGCTGGTTCAAGATTAAGCACATCAGAGGCTGATCGATCTCAATCTTTTTTATTTCTATTTACGACATTAATACTGATGATTATATCAGTCTTTAACTTTTCCATTTGTAGGACTTGATTTTGATGTAAACAAGATCTGAATCTTTTCTTTTCTTTTCTTTTCTTTTTTTTTGGGTTGTTTTCTTGGATTTGGTGGTTTTTTGGTTTTGTATTGTTTTCTATAATTTGGATTTTATATATGAATTTCGTCTTTTGAATGGTTGAATCTCTTCGATTGGGGCTTATGTTATGTTGAGATGTTATTAATTTTTATGGTTAGTTGTTGATGTAGAATTTTTCAGTCTGCTTTGCCAAACATTTTTATAGAAAAATGAAAAATTCCCTCAATTAATGGGTCGTCCGCAGCACGATTCGTTTAATTTGGTAAGAAAAGTAGATGCATGGGATGGGGGTGTTTGGCAGCTGAAGCTGATTAATTTCACGAAACTTCACAAGAATAACACATAGTTAGCCTAATTGATGCATACCTTGAAAAAGTGGAAGGTGTCTGGGCGGGCACTTAAGCAAATCTAGCGTCGTCTTTTATTGTTAATTGCGTAAGATTAATTGTGCCAGTAACCAGCAGCCTAGCGTTTAGTTAAGGCTTAGTCAGCTCTAGACGGGGACATTTAGACTAACTAAAGTTAGGAATAAGATCCGACAAGACAAAACCAAAGAGCCAAGCGGATGATTCTCCATCCAAGCTTGAAACTAGAGCGACTCCTATAACAGAATCAGATTCAACCAAAAGATTATTGAACCCCATACTCCATGCCAATTTAGGACTAAAGAAGATGCCCATATATCTAGTTAAGAATACTTTGATTACCATGGGTAGGTAATTTCAACGATCACACAATGTATTGGATGTACCTTTTTCTGCCGATGAGAATTGGTTGAGTTGGTAAGAATTGTTATCTTTGTTAGATCAAGACCTAAATTTTAGTTTCATTGCTACCAAATCGCTCTCGGTGGCAACATGTAAAAACAAAAATAAAAAAAGGCTGAGACTCTTCTATAAATTCTAAAAGAGGCTTGTAGTATGTCATGACCATGAAATGGAGTAGCCTCTTCTTCTCATTAACTTTTCCGTACTAACTAGAAAATACCATTCTTTCGACTAAAAAGGATGAAGAGGAGATATCGTTCTCACAAGGCATAATGTAATAATTACTATATAATAAGAATAATAACCAAGTCTTATCCAACTAAGTGGGGTCGCCCATATGAATCTTAAAACGTCATTGCGCTCGGTTTTGCACTAAGTTTTCTGTTAGCTCTAAGTACTTCATATCTATTCTTATGATCTCTTTACAAGTCTTCCTAGGTCTTCTTCTACCTTATTTGCTTTGAGTCTTCGTCTAATAGTCACTTCTCCTAATCAGACCATCTATAGGTATTCAGCTCAAGTGTTCAAACTATCTTAATCGTTTTTCACTCATCTTATCTTTATGTGCTCATACATCCAATGAAGCATTCTCATCTCCACTACTTATTTTTTGCACGTGTTGCTTTTTGACCACTAAACACTACGTGCCATAAAGCATTGTTGGCTTTATTGACTTCCTATAAAGATTTTCCCTGAGTTTTAATGGCATACAACAATTCATAATACACCCTATGAACTCTTCCACTTCATCTATCTAGCGTATCTTCTATGGTTGAGATGTTCATCAAATTCTCAGTTATTTTGCAATATAGATCCAACATAACGAAAACGTTCACTCTTTGGTACTTTCTAATCTCCAATCCTCATCCCTATCTCGTTGGAGCCCTCATTCCCGTCGAAGTTGTACTTCATATAATCTGTATTTGATCTACTTGGGCGAAAACCTTTAAATTCCAACACTTCCCATCAAAAGTTAATCTTCGCATTTACTTCCTCCTGCATTTTATCTATCAACACTATATCATATGCAAAAAAATATTACACCAAAAAACATCATTTTCAAGATGTCACGTTAACTTGTCCATTACCAATACAAAATAATATATTATACTATAAGTAAAATATATAAAAATATATATGTGAAAAATACGTATTTATATTAAACGGTAACATTGCTAAAAAAAATTAAAATTTGGTCACAAAGTAAAATTCATATTTAAATTACTCATTGAAAAATAAAAGACTTATTTTTAACTACGCTTGAAACTCAAAAATCACCATTTTACTCCTGGAACCTGATTTGGATCCCATTTTGCCCTCTGAAACTAAAAGGTAGCCACTTTGCTCTGTTGAACTCGATTTGGTTCCTACTTTTTCCATTGAAACTCAAAAGTTGCCACTCCACTCCCTAAAACTCAATATTCACTCCACTTTGACATGTTTTTGTGTATTCCCTTAAATAATCATTAAGTTTACTTGTGTGACATAATTAAGGCCCACTTAGAACTAACGTGGCACAAGTATAAAGCTCACATATCCATCAAATGGTGTCACATATATAAAACAAAAAAAACAAAAAAACAAAAATTCAAACATTGTAATACATATTTAAAAAAGAAAAAGTAAGAAAAGTGAGCAAAAATAATTCCTGAGTTTCATCTCTCCACCACTCTCTTTAATAATTGTCCATACATTCATCCCTTCTCCTTCCATCTCTAGCCACCTTGTCATTAGTTCCACTGATTTCGATATTTCCTACGTTCTTAATGGACGTTGTTTGTACCATACTTGACCAATCCTGAAAATACCAAGCACCAATTAACATCATACCTTCAAGAACCCACTAAGGGGTTTATGCTGAGGCATCTCAGTAGAAGCACATGAATTTTCCTCTAACCAGGAGACCAATCACAGTACAACACATGTCAACGTCATAATAAAGCTCATAGAGTCCCACATCGACCACATATAAAAGCTGGAGACTCTCCTCAACTAAAAAAATAGATCATTCTCTTACAATTAATCTCTAATGTCATTATTGTATTGAAACTAATCATTAGAACCACTAATAATGATTATAATGATTATGCTTAAACTTATGTATTTGTGTAAATCCTTCACTATTAATGAGAACTCCTCTACTCTGTGGACGTAGTCAAACTTAGAGTAAATCACGTACATCTTGTGTTTGCTTCCCTATCACTATCTGTTTACATACTATCATTACTAGGTGATCGAAGCAAATGAGCGAAGGGTACAAACTTGACATTTTACGTTGTTCCAAAGTCTAGTTAATTTTGTGCATCAACATTTGATACCGTCTGTGGAAATTAACACAAAAAGTTGTCGGTTCTCTCTCAATTTTTCATCCCACCACCGTGAAACCCTCACAACCTCACCACACCGTGAATCTGCAAAACCTAAGAACCCAAAACCCCCTCTTTGGCTTTTCCATAAAACCATTGCAGCCTCCCTCATGCATCTCTCTTCTTTCCAAAACCAGCGCACTTTCATCCCATTTTTCTGTAACGGTTCGTGAACCACGGCGGCATTTTGAGAGACGAAGAACGAAAACAACAAAGGGCGGAGGGTTCGAGTGGGATCAGAGCCGAGTACCGGGCGAATCAGCAAGAAAATGGGGCCAGAAACCCATATTGCAGAGGCAGTCTAACGGAGCAGCTTTGCCGTGGGACTCGGATCTTTCAAATTCCCATACTATCTGGGTTTTGACGCCGGCGAACTCGCCACCACTGTCTCTGCCGAGATCAGCAAAGGTGTTCATTCTCTGGCCTCTCCCATCGAAGAAGATAAGACCTTCTTATCTTTTCGATTATAGTTCTGCTTATTATTTTAATATTATGTTGACAAAAAACATATCACTTCACATACCATTTTTATTATTTTAATCCATACGCACATAGGTAGGTTGATCACATTCACCTAAAACCTTCTTTAATCTGTACACTCATTGCACCATTTATATTATTATTGTTATTAATACTTGACAATTGCTAGTCACGTGGCATAGGCTGATCAAATCGCATACCTAATCTTTACAATTATTATTTTAGGGTAAATTACACTTTACCAAATTAGGTTTGAGGTTTATTACAATCTCATACATCTTCAAAACATTTCACTTTCATACCTCACGTACTATTTTATTTTAATATAATACATCTGTTACATTTTTCATCCATTGATCCGTTAAGTGCTGACGTGACGGTCACATTTGTGCCACGTGACAAAAAATTTTTTTTTATTCATTTAAAATATTATAATAATTTACCCTTTAAAAATAAAAATTTAAAAAAATTTAAAAAAAACAAACTGATTCGTCTTCCCCATCCCTTCTTCCTACTCGAGCCCATCCCCCATCACCCCGCCCCCTTCTCTCATCCCCATCCCATCGCAACCACCACCCCTATCCTACCCTACCCACCTCCCTCGTAGCCTCTATACCTTACCCGACCTTTGATAACACCAACCCATATGTGCGGCGGCGAGGCATGCGTCAGACCCAGATAGGTAGAAGAGGAACGAGCAGATGTGTAGGGAAGGTGGGTGCAGGGAGATGGAGGGGAGAAAGTCAGATGAATGGGTGTGTGGGCATCATTGAAATCCCAGAATTGGACAAATGGGTTGTTGTCATCATCGTCCCTGTCGTCTATGATGTTGTCGGCGACAACGTCATCAATGTCGAATGGGGATTCGAGAGGGGTAAGGCCGACTTCTGTGGGTTGATTGCTATGGGAGTGAAGAGGTGGAGTGGGAGATGGGTTTCTGGGTTTGTTCAAACTTTTTTTTTAATTATTATAAATAGGGTCAATATTATAATATTTTTAATGTATAAAATTTTTTTTTGCCACGTGGCACAAATTTGGCAGCCACGTGGCACAAATGTGACTGCCACGTCAGCTCTTAACGGATCAATAAATGGAAAATGTAACGGATGTATTATATTGAAATAAAATAGTATGTGAGGTATGAAAATGAAATGTTTTAATAATGTTGTATAAGGTTGTAATAGACCTCAAACCTGAGGTTGTAAAATGTAATTTGATATAACAATTCTATGACTTGTCCTCTTATTAAATAAAATGCTAATACACAAATAAATTATTATTTTATAATTTTTATTAATGTTCTATTGATATAACAGTTTCATCATGGGACATGGCAACGGCACCACATACATTCTACGGCATGTAACTTGTTACATTTTATTGAAACCGCATTCAGCATGCTATGTTATTATGTTTTATAGCATGAAATTGTATAGTCACACTATTTAAGGCATACTCATATGACAATGCTCACAATATGTACACATTGACAATTAATTGCTTATAGACAATGCTCATGCATTTGATTGATTAACCAGGAACCAAAATTATAGTAGTTCACTGTACGAAAAGCAGCGATCAATAGTTCTGAGGCCAAGCTCTCAGCTTTTCTCATCTTGTGAGAGCCTTTCTCAACAGTGTTTGAGTGTTCTCTGTTTTGTATTTTCCCCAACCGTCGACCCTAGCTATGTCTAGGGTCGATGACAGTCCTCTTTTTTTCCTTTTCCACTTTTCTTTTCCTTTCCTTTTCCCTGAGCTTCTGTTTCCCCCTCTCCAGGGGCCTAATCATCACTTTTTTCCAACTTCTTGTGCCCCTGATTTCTTTGTCTGTAGCCCTTTTTTCCTTGGTTTCCTTCATCCCTTCCACTTCCTTTCCACTCCCCCCTCTATTTTTCTCATTTCTCTCCTCCCTTCCACTTTCCTTCTCCCTTCCTTTTACTTTTTTTTTCCTTTTTTTTTTCATTTTGCCGTTTCTTCCTTTTCCCCTTTCTTTGCATCTTCTTTCCATCTTTTTCTCATTTTTCTTCCACTTTCCTCGACACTTCACTCCATCTTCCACCCAATCAGCCCCATCCTTCTTTGACTTCACATCCTGGTTTGGCTTCTCCATCTTTGTATTGCGATTTTTCACATTTTACCCAGAAGGTGCGTAGAGTTTTCACTCAGGTGTTCACACCACCACCTTCTTTGGGATTGCCTTTGATGGCACTGTTGCTAATGGGTTGCTCTTTCCCACTGGCTTCCTTCGTTTTAGGTTTCACTTTATTGGCCCTGTTGCTAACGGGTTGCTTCTTCCCGTAAGCTTATTTCGATGTGTGGTAGCTATCAGTGTGGTGTTTGGCGGTGTTTGGGGATTTGTTTTGGGGTTCTATTTTAACTCCATTTTCTTCTAGTTTTAGGGCTTTGTTCTACTTGTTTTCAGGTGTGTGCAAGGAACATTTGTTTCTGTTAGTTGGTAAGCGGCTTTCCGACGATGGCGGGTTAAAGATGTTAGGGTTTGTTTCGGTATTTTCTTTGTTTTTGGCTCTTTAGTTGCTTATGAGGTCCTTCTTTTTGTTTATGTGTATGTATTTGGGCCTTTTCTTGTGTAGTTATTGTGTTGGAATAAAGCAACTTTTCTCCAAAAATAAAAAATAAATTAAATTATAGTAGTTCACATTACTGAGCCACATGCTTATAGTGACAAAGATTTAGTCGGAATGGTGACCTCTTATTTGACTGGACACCCACTAACTCGGACACTCGCTCATCTGGACACTTATGTGCTCGGACATCCGCGAGCTCGAACACCCACTCATTCGGGCATTTACAAGATTGGACATCCACAAGCTTGGACACTTTGAAGCTCGAACTAACACGCCCCGATCCCTATATCCTCCAAACACCATGATAAGTACGTGCTGGCCGACATCCGAGGGTGACGAAACAATTGTAAATATGCATACAAATAAAATATGTAATTAGAAAGAAATATGCCAATGCGGAAACGTGTTCAGAGCATACAACTAATCAAGAGTAATGTGAAAGAATTATTATAAAAAGGTACAAACAAATGAATGGGTCTTACATTGAGAATACTCGAAGATACCTATGCGGAAGTGCCCTGACACCGAGATCGTACGGCTCAATTCTAAATCCTGAAGGGGGCGCAAAACAAAACAGTGAGTGGACCAAAGTTTATAATAATAATACTAAGTAAAACCATTTTTCTTTTGAACATACTAACCCCCTGTTTTGAAAACTCATATAGTACTACATAGTAGGTTTTTTGAAAACTCTAGCATGCCATGAAAACGTTCATAAAACATGTACGTATAAACCAGTACTCAGTAATGGTAACATAGTCACTTGAAGGCAAATCCATAAAACCTTCGTAAATCACATCAATGATGTACTCAATTAGGGGTATCATAGTCGCCCAAAGGCATAACTATCACCCGAAGGTGAAGCAGTACGACACTGGGTTACACCAGTGAAGAAATTCGATAGGTCCTATCACCTGAAGGTGAAGTTGTACGACTCTGGGTTATGCTAAATAAGAAATATAACATAACACATCAACACTAGTCGTGGCTAGTGAAGCTGTCCAACATTGGTTTTGTCAATGAAGCTGGGAGCATGTAATAATATCTCACTGTTCCTCGACTATGTCCTATGGCTATAGACGTATACATACTCAAGTTGTGTGTATGTGTTGTATGATTACCCACTAGATAAGCACCAAAAAACATAACCAAAATCTCATACCAAGTGTAGAATACCAAAACCTCATCATCTGAAATCATAAGAAATTCCATAAATGTGATTTCTATAAACATGCCATTTTATAAACCTTAAATAGACAAATCAAGAATATTTCATAAAAGCGAATCAAATAAATCATGAATTCTCCGAAATCATAAATATAGAAATTCGTAAAACATAATATAAAACATAGTCAATTCATGAAATATGAAATGCATGGAAGCCTAATATTTTATAAAAAAAAATGCAATTTGAGAAAGGGTTCACTCACAAATACTTTGTCGTTGAAGAGCCGTTCGAACTAGGGAGGACAGGATTGCCACCAAACGACGCACCTAAGCACATAAAGGGACCAATTAGTAAAATTCTACTTAGATGATTGAATTTGGGAAAACGGACTTCGGATTCGGATTCGGGACGTCGAAAAACCTAAGAAGGGACCTCGGGTTCCCCCACACACCGCCATGGGATTGCTATCTGGAAGGCCACGTGCCAAGTTGAGTCACCGGAAGGTTGGCCGAAAAAGTCGATGGCGCCGCTGTGGTTGTCATTGTGGATGGCGACGGAGCACAATGCCTTCGACGAAGGTGCATGCACTCCACGCGCTGGCCCATGCCAACCCCACACGCAGCAAGTACACTTGTACTCACCTACTTCGAATTTCTGTAATTTCTTCAGCTTTTTAAACCAACTTCAAGATCTCATTCTGAGCAAATCGAGTTATTCAAACGTCAAAATGTAGTTTGGAATGTGGAGAAGAGATTCATACCCTTAGGAGGCCCAACGGAGATCGGAGTTGGCCGAAAAAATGGCTGGAACGTGGCCAAACGACCACGGTTTTGAAATTCCATATTTTGCACAGTGACTTCCTTAGTGTTTTTCGAGTTCCTACACTACCAAAACCACCCACAAACTTACTAATCGTGAACTTAGACACGATCTACAATGGTATGGACTAATTTCGAGGCTTACCTTCGCCGTAAATGGTCAAAATTCTTCGAAGAAGTTCCTTGCACAGTGCAGCTCGGGAAAGGGTTTTCCAACAGGTTTTTCTCCTAAATTTTTGGTTCAAGACCTAACCATAGAGGCTAGGAATGGTGGAGGGTTGGTGTTGTTATTTGTTTGTTGATGTATAGGTGTGTGTGTTATTTGGCCAAGAGAGGGATGGTGCACGGGAGAAGGAAAAAGATAAGATGGAGAGTGATGGAATAAGAAAATGGAAAGAAAAAAAAAAGGGAGGAAGACACACAGGATAGAAAAGAACACCTAAAAAAATGAGGAAAAATTGCCACGTGTTAGCCTGTGGATGGTCCAAAGTGGACAAATATCTCTTATTGTGAATTTACCAAAATGCCCATGATGTTTAAAAATTCGTAGAAACTTCATTTTAATTCCAAAATTAATTTCGCTCATGTCTACATGTTTGTATCGACGAGTGCTACGTGAATAAATTAAAAGAAAAATTCTTACATATCATAAAACGAGAGTCAACGAAAGTCAACGCTTTCATCGTTAGGGTTATTTTTGTAAATTTAGCTAATTAAAACATAAATTTCAAGACGGGTCATTACACAGACCCTGACTCACGAACCCAACTTGTGGACGCAATTCAAAGACTCTACGTATGACCCTGACTCAAAGACCCGATGTGTAGACTCGATCTGCGAACCCGACACATAAACACAATATGTGAACCCAACAAGCAGACCCGAGTCATGTCAAGAGTTAACTCATATTGAGCGCACACTCACATAGACGCATACTCGCAACAAGAAATGCCAAGAGCCGAGCCGTCTTGCAACGAGCATAGCCCCCAAACGAGTAACCGCCTCGCCGTGAGCATCGCCTCTAGCCGAGCAACCTCACAACATGTGCTAACTCTAGCTAAGTACAGCTTCACGTTGAGCACCGCCTCATGTCGAGTACCGATTCTGGACGACATCTAGTCATTTCAGCCCGCACATGGATTGAATTTGATGTCTCTAACCAAAAGACTCTCTTGACTGAAGACTTGAGGGGCTCTTGTTGTACCATACATTGGGCCAAGGGGTGGGTTTGAAAAACCGAAAACCGAACCTAGACTGAAAAAATCGAACCGAAAAAAAAATGAACCGAACTGATATATGAAAATCATATATAAATACTCAAAACCTGGTGGCATGAGAATTCGAACCCCTTCCTTACAAGTTGAGGATACTTGCTTTAAGCCAACTTGACTGTAGGCTTTGTGTTGCTATAGTTGTACCATTAAATTATTTATAGGTATTCTAATCTTTAATGCTTTATAAAATTTCTAAAGTATACAAACCTTAACTGTCACTCTCTCCCATTTCAGTTTTCACCTTTTGGTTTTCTCAAACACTCTCTCTCCCCTCCGCTGCTTTCTTCCTCTCTCTCTGCTTCCTCAGTCTCTCTTTCTCTCATTCCTCTCTTCCTCCAAATCACTCTCTCTCCAGTCTTCTCCTCTTCTTCGCGGATTCCTTCTTCCAAACCATAATTTTCCCTCACCCCTTTCAAATCGAAAGCAGAAGAGGAGGGCATAGAGAGTTCGATTACTTCAACTTGGCCCTGCAATTGCATGGCACTTTTTGTCAGCGCACTCGCCATTGTTGCTCTTTCAATGCTTGCTTCCGCAGGTTCACAATCTCTTCCTTATTTTAACTATTAATTTAAAAAAAAAGATTGATTTTTTTTCGTTTTGGTTGATTTTAATTTAGTAAATTAGGTTGAGTTCTCTGTTTGTGGTTTTTGAATTAGTTTTTCAACTGTTGGGTTTTTCTTGTTTCAGCTCAAATGCTGCAACCGTGTTTACAATCCATAAGTATTAAGCTTTTGTATAATATTGTGTAATGCAGAGATGAAAATTGAAAAGCATGAGTTAAGTTGACTTCTCAGTTGAAGTTCAAATATTTTGATTAGGGCATGTTGCAGATTGATTGCTCATTGAGGAAACTCAAGGCAGGGAAGCATGTGCTTCACGCTTCAGATAAAAAAAAGGGGGCATTTTGATATAGATGCCTCAAATTTGAATTTTTTTTAATCAAACATCTATAACTTTTAAACTTTTGATCAAACATTCTACTAATTTTTAATTAAAAATTATGATTTTTATTGTATTTAATTAACCAACTAGTTCAAAATATCACAAATATTCTAAAATCACCACAAACTTCCTATCTAATCTTATCATAATTCGTTCAAAATGAATTTTTCTTATTCAAATAATTTGTTGTTTTAAATTCTAAAAACACATAAACATCCTATTAACATACAATTATGAAATATAACATACACATATATTAAATATAACGTACCAAACAGATATATTAAATATAACGTACCAATCATTTGGTACGTTATTTGTGA